GTCCCCCATGGCCTTGGCGATTTGCGGGTCTTCTTGAAGGAACGAATTGAGAGCTTCATACGTCTTAGGACACGAAAACTTCATGAAGACCGTCTTGCCATGACGGCATGTTGCATGGAAATTGCAAAAGCAATTGGTTTCCAAGACGATGTTGACTTGATGGATAAAATCAGGGTATTTGAGCAGGAACAAGCAGATGAATGAAAGTCGGGCGATAATTATGGCTGGAATTAATGGATTATGCAGGAATAGTAAAGCTACAAATACAAAGGCTACAACGTACCCAATATCTAAACCCTCTTCCTCAATCACGTTGGTTTCCTTGTTAGAGTCTGTTCATCACTTGTAATAACAACTGAAGAATAAGTCTGCTGAGGATATAGTAAAAAGGTAATTCGAAGCCATTGACACAAATCTTGCTATTTCTCGAGAGCATATCGATAACAAGGTTAGACAATTGCGTCTGAACCAGAGCCTTACACTTACTGACGCGGTACTTGCTCTGCCCCCAAAACTCTCGCTCGACACATTAACAGTATCCAACCCATCATCCATGGACAATAAGATAAGGCAGTGCTGTACCACCTTCAGCGCTGGGCTTCACCTGTCCGTATGCTCCACGGGAGGCTCCTAGATAGGATGTTAAACCTGAACAGATAAACAAATAACCAGACAGCAAGATCGATTGTACCACCCTCATCCCTGATATTACCAACAATGAGGGGGAAAATAGCGATGCCTTTTACCCATACATAAAGCGTCATTGTGCACGCAGTAGCTCTACACAATTCAAACATCATAACCATCCTACAAACTACCTGCGGAGCTACACTTATCAAACACTACCAAACTCCTCTATTTTACATTCTTTCTAAATGCCAAAAGTCGTAACGAACCTACCGTCACAGCATCTCTTCTTCCCCATCCCAATCTCCATCTCCTACCATGCAGCAAAACCCGCAACTCTCACCATTACCACAACCACCACCTCCACCCCCACACAACAACAATCTACGAAGAACTGCAAGAGAGGGAGGAAAATAATAATAATAATAATCAATGTCAAACATGGTATCATGGCATTAAATTTTATCATAGCATAACGCAGCGCAAACACCGCTACCGCCGCCTCAAAAAAAACAGCCAAGCCAAACCAAGCCAAAAAAAAAACCAGCGGGACGAAAAAAAACAAACAAGAACAATGGGAAAGAAATGAATACCATACAGAAACAGTACAAAAGAGTACAGTTCAACAGTACAAGTACAAATCTATATGTGTGAGAGATGAAGAGAGATTGCGACAATGGAAGGGGAAAAAAAAAGACGATCCAAAAGAAAAAAACGACAACCATCTAAGTAAGAACTTTCCCAGGTATTTTTCGATTCCCCTCCCTTCTCTCCCCCCCCAAAAAAACGTTGGAAATAAGGAAACGATGGCGTCACTCACAAACTCGTTACAACATCACCTTCAACAACAACGTCGACCAACATCAACCAACACCAAGGATGAAGAGGAAGTGGACAAGAGGAGAAAAAAAAACAAGTAAACAAAGCGTGTCTTAACTTTTGCCCATGGAATCCCTCCACCGCCCATCACTCACACAAACAAACTTGACATTACGTCCACGATTCCTTACGCTCTGCACACCACCAGCATCGAGCCAACGCCCGAGATTCTTACACTGACTGACATCAAAGCGCTCGAGGTCGCGACAACCTTCGACGACGGCCTCGACGCCCGTGCCCGTGACGCGCACGCAGCCGCGCACAGACAAGTTGCGCAGCTCGAGGAGGTGCAGCGAGATGCATCGGAGCGACGTGTCTGAGACTGCGGAGCCGCAAAAGGCGAGGTTGAGGTGGGTGAGCGAGGGAAGGCCGAGGGCGAGGACTTCGGTTGCTGTGTCCGAGAGGGCGCAGCAAAAAGACTGTTGATTGGGAAGGGTTTCGGATTAGCGGGTGTGTGAGATTTGTTTGTTTTTTCTTCGTGATTTTTCTTTTCAAAGGAAAATGAGGGAATTCAGGGCTTTCTCTCGTTGTGTGTGGATTGGGGGAGTGCATTTTTTTCGTTTCTTCTTTTCTCTTTCGTGGCATGTTGATCCCGAAAAAGAAATAAAATGACAAAAGGTGAGGGTCCAAACTTACCAAATCAAGTTGCTTTAGCCCCTTGGCTGCATTGGTGAGATAAACAATTGCGTTGTCGGTCAGGTAGGTGCAGTCGGCGAGACACAGCTTGGTGAGCCTAGGGAAGGGGTAGACGCTCCAGTGTTGGAAGCCTACGTCTGTGATGGTGGTGCAACGTGTCAGGTCGATGCTTTCGATGCGGTTGGCTGCGTGAACAGCAATGTGGGCCATGCTCCGGTCAGTAATGTGCTTGCAATAGCTCAGTGTTAATCGTCTGAGTTTTGGACAGCCAACAACGGTGCCTGGCGGTAGAGGTTGCGGTGGCTGACTGTTGGCGCCTTTTCCTTGTCGGCGCCCGTTCATCTGAGCCTGTTGTTGAGCATGCGCCATGGCCATTTGGGGTGGCATGTCAGGTACTATCCAGCCAATGACTCGGGCAAGGAGGTTATCGCCGACCTTTCTGCAGTTGCTCAGATCTACCTCTTCTAGACCCTTGGCTTTTTGTACCATTTCGAGAACAGCAGGTCCGGTAATGTCCCAAACGCTCTTCATACGCCATATCCTGACGCTTGGGCCACAGGTCTTTGCTAGTTCTCCAAAACCCTCATCTGTCACATGAAAGCAGTTGCTAATGTTGACGGATCGTGGTCGGCTGCCAGCAAAGGGACAGATTATATCAATGAGTGACCGGTCGGTGACTTTGCGGTTGTACTTTGTAAGATCAAGATCGTGGAGGATGTCAGGGGACTCCGATATGAGTTTGCTCCAATGTGAAGAAATGATGCGTAGTTTCATCAGCTGGTGGATGTCTAGATTCGCGAAGATGGCAACAAGTACAGAATCTGGCAATCGACCTCTGGTGTATATGCTTGGTTTTGTGACAAGTCGTGGGCGCTTGAAATCGAATGGAACCTCTGGAGGGGTAGATGCGTGTTTTGCTATTGTAAAAGATGGCGACGGAGAAAGTGGTGATCCGTTGGGCGATGGGGTCCTTGGAAATTCGGTTTTGCCCGGACTCGCGGGGGCTTCGGGTGCTGAGCCAGGTGCTGGTGGAGCGAGCGAACCTCTACGCGATCGTGATCTGACGTTGTCAAGGTCGACGTTTAGAAAAGGATCGGGATCGAATGGCTCCATCATCTTCTCGTCTCTCCGAACAGGAGCTACGGAGTTGTCGATGCCGAGTGTTTCATTGAAAGTAACGGTCGGCACACTCTTTTTCCTGCGTGGAGTTCGGGGTATTGTGTAGTCTACTATGGCCAAGTCATTAATATTGGGTGTGCTATGCGCATCTGGCATGAGCACATCTTCATCTTTGGCAGTCTGTAAGCGCTCTTTAGCGACAGACTCGACCTGTCGCCGTACGTCTGGAGTGCACTTTTCCCACAGTTGGTTCAACGTGTCTCCTGTGATCATCAGGCATTCGACAGCGGATATAGAGCGGACCGTGGCAGTGCGGCGTGGCGCCAGCGAGAGACTGACTACCTCTCCAAAGTACTGCCCTGGCTTTAGTCGAGCCTTTACTTCTTGGAAATTGTGTTCGCCCGCAGCAATCGACTTTCTTCGTCCCTGGGTGGGTGAAGTGAAGCCGTTGGACTCGGGCACATGGTCGCTAATGACCTCGACTTCGCCCTTTACAATGAAGAAGACATCCCGACCGTGGGTACCCTGTTTTATAATGTCTACAAAAGGATCGAAGGAACATGGTTGGGCACGCATGCCGATAAAGTGTAGAATATCATCCGGCAGTTCGGAAAAGAGAGGCAGCTCTTTTAGCAAAGGCCTCACATGCAGGCTATCGCTTCCAAAGGCACTGTGGGCAATGGCTTCAGCAAGGCCCGGACTTGGAGATTTGCGCTTCTTGAAGGCATTGATCTCGCCATCACGTATGGTACCGCTCTCGGCCATGACCACATCACCGTCTTCACGGTCGCGCTTGCCCGTTATCTGGCGCATGGGTTGTGGGCGCTTGGCCGATAGCTCCGACTTCTTGCGCTGCAGGATAGCCAGGCGCTCCTGGGCCTCGTGCCTTATGGCGACCTCGACGTCGGGAAACTTGGGGAGCTCCTTGGTCAGGTCCTCCTTGTTCAGACGCACGACGAGGGAGCGGACATTGGCAATAATGGTGGCAGTGCGGGGAATGTCCATGAGGATGCCAATCTCGCCGAAGAAGGCACCGGGCTTCAATTCGGCATATGTGCTCTCCTGGTCGCGCGAGGTAACACGCACAGCACCGCGGACTAGCCAGTACATGGCCTTGCCCGTCTCGCCCTCGGTCAGAATTGTGTCATGGGGTTGGTACAGCTGCGGCTTGAGGTGCAGGCCGACCTGGGCAAGGAAGGAGTCGGGAGCAGCTTGGAAGAGGGGGAAGGAGCGCAGGCGGTCGAGCAGGTCGAGCGGGAGGCCCTGGATAGTGGAGGCAGCGAGGGGCGAGGGACGGATAGGTCTGGCGGGATTGGAGTCGCTATCGTATGCGCGCACCATGGCGAAGGGGTCTGGGACAGGCACGCCTCCATGAGCGCGGACTGGGCCACCGCCCGGCCTGTATCGGCGCATGGAGGCGGTGATGGGGGCGTATGAGCGTGGGAGGAGAGTGAGGTGGTGGTGGTGGTGGTGGTGGTGGCCGGAGACGCGTTATGGAAGTCGCGATAGCTGGTGCAGAGGCGGCGGAAGCGGGCTCGCAGTGGGGAGGGGCAGCAGCCGTTGACTAGCTGGCGGCGGTGTGATCGTGTGCGGGCGAGTGGAAGCGGTAGAATGGCGGGGCAGGCTCAGCTCATGGTGATTTGTGGTGGCTTTGGCTGGTACGAGGGCGCTGGGGGGAGATGGCGAGGGTTTGTGCAGAGGCTCAATGGGGAGAGGGCGGTATGCAGGTGGGCGGGCGGTCAGTAGCAGATGCAATGGATGGCGTGGAACAAAGCTGCCGCTAGACGGCCACTGCAACACCTGCCACGGTTGACCGGCGGGCGGGACGCACTGAGCAAAGCAAGGGGCGGGCGGCAGAGGGTGTGGGAGTGGGTATGACTATGGCTGTGGGCTGGGTTGGGTGCAGCAGAGTAGGCTATTTTCAGCGTCGTGGCCACAGTCTTGCAGGCCCGTCGTGCTTTTCGGAGAGAATAGAGGATGGATCGAGTGCGGGACGAGGCTTTAGTCCCGCAACGCGCGCCCTGGCTGACCGACCTTCTACTCGGCCTTCTCGAAACCGGGGCACGGACGGACTGACTGGCCTGTCCTGGAATGGCGGACTGCCCTGGACTGCCCTGCCATCCATCCCATACCCTCTTGCTGCTACACCACCACCACCACCATCATCATCATCACCACCACCGCCACTAGCCTGACCCCCCCGAGACCGCCAGTGTGCTTGCTTGCGAACGACACCCACCCACCCCGCTGCACCCGTGGGCTCTCAAGCCGCCCCATGGCCCCCATGACCCCCATTGCACGGCCCCCTCGCCGCCGCATCAGATCATGTCGCAGACAAGGCGCCCGCTCGTCGCACGTCATTCCCGCAATAAGCAATTAAACTTTGCCCCTGCTACTATTGACCTCCGAATTTCATATCCTCTGCACCCTGTATGTACGCCGCGAGCAAAACCACGAGTAAGCGCCCACCATGCCATCTCCCCTACATGTGATGAGCACGTGGACAGACATGTGTACATGTGTATGCATGTACTTGAGTAGACCTGACAACCCCCTACTAGTATCGCCTGTCCTCGTCCCACCTGCCCCCCTCCTGACATCGTTCGTTTCTGCGACCGTGTCCGTTTCCATACTCACCCTCCCACCCCTCTCCCTTTGGTTGCTTCTTCTTCTGTCGCGTCTTGTCCCAGTGATCGGCTGCTTCCCGGGCGCCAACCCCTCCGATAATGGCTCCGGCAAGCGTTGCAGCAGTATCGTACTTCTTGCCTTTGCCCACCTGGTTGCCCGCAAGCCCACCTACCAATGCCCCTCCAATGGTTGCAATGAGCCGATTCCTCGCATCATCCTGTGCCAATTGAGACCGTGATCGCGACTGCGACCGCGACCTTGAGCGTACCTGTCGTGATTCTGACCCTCCTCGCGCCCGAGAGCGCGGCGGAGACCACGAAGACCGTCTTCGGTGTGGGGCTGGTCGGCCATAATAGCTTTGTTCTTCGACTTGCCCATATGACTGTTTTTAGTCAGCTATTGATTCTAGCCTCATCACAATGACGACGCACTTCTAGTTGCGTGTTCCGCCCATTGTCGTATTCAGGCCGACGGCGAGGCACTCTGAATCCCGGCCCTGGCGCTGTGTACATGTAGTCCATTTGCTCGGCCTCGCGGTACCGCTGGTCCCTTGCATACCCGTCCTGTCCGTCTGGCCCGTACATTTCAGGGTCAGACTTGTAGCCGTATACGTCGTCCGAGATGGGGCTTGATGGCTCGTAGCCCTTGTCAGGGTGCTGTGGTGCTTGCCCGGACGGTAGCTGTCTCTGCTGCTGGCGGTACTTGTTTCTTCCTGGCCTTGGTATGTTTGGTAGATGATCATAGGTTCGGTCCCAGTATCGATCTGCGAATCTATCAAGGCTCTCGAACCCGAGCTCCTATATATCATCGACGCGACCAATCAGCAGACTTCGCAACAGTGCAGTACTAGCAGCAGCAGCAGGACAGCAAGGATATAGGCCACGTACCACGAACTCTTCTGCCATGTCAAATGACTAGTTTCGTATTCTTTGTGGTTTGGTGCTTCCGGGATAGCCGTCTTGGTGGACTTGTCCCAGAATCCGGTGATGCGGATACTGGAAACAGCCGCTTTCATAGCGTAGTTCGCCCCCTCTTGGTCGCCCTGTACTCGCCCACCATGCCGGTTTTCCAGTGTTTCTGCAAATGACGTAGGGACCCGCTAAGCCCCATGCGAGCTAGTGGCAGAAGGGTCAGAGTGAACCGAGTGAACCATCCCCAGAAACGGGAAGCTGCGATCTCCAGCTGCCCTGTGATGGCCGCGCCCCAACCACAGCACTGCGCCCAACCCAGCCCCCAAAATCTGACTGGGCTATGCATCGGCATCCTTGATAATAATCTCCTCGCATAATACCCAGCATGATTGCGTGCATGCCAGTATCAGGTTAGATTATGTAGAGTGCTGTCTTGGCTCTAGTCTGCGTTTCAACTCCTCTACTCTATCCCATACCTCATCTCCCCCACATTGTTTCCATCTCGCACTCACCCCGCCTCGTCTACTAACTACACAGACTATACTCCGCGCGGCCATGGCACTTTCTTTTACATCCAGAGTGTTGGAAATCGAGGCCATTATCGATTACGTCTTTTCCAAAAAACGCCTCGCCGCGGAAGCAGCTCAAATGGCAGCACCAGAGGTCGCTTTTATTGAAGATGACGTCTTTACGACTTTGCATAACAACAAGAGACTGGCCATCCTAGGGAAAGCAGTCCTCGCCAGAGAACTTTGTAGTGCCTGGTTTAGAATGCGTGGGTCGTATGGTAAATCACGACTCCCTTGCTCTTGCTAGGCTGCACTGTTTACAACGACATATGAGGCCCTATCCCCAGCGCAGTGGACGCAGTTGCGGAACGACATCATCTCCAACGATGCATTGGCTCGCCGAGGATACAACGCTGGAATTGACAAGGTCATCATCACGGCTAGTAGCACACCCAACGTGTCTCCTAAAATGGTCGCAGCAACTCTCGGAGCCATCGTTGGAGCAGTCCATGAAGACGGAGGAGACGCTGCTGTTCACAACGTCATGGAGCATCTTGGGTTCTTCGACCACATCCTTCTCACAGTAATTTCTCTGTTTTTATCATTCTCGCCCTCAACATGAGCAGTGGTTTGCCATGCACTAATCAAGACACTGCTAGATCCTTTCATTGCCTGCTCGAGATACCCCCTACAAGGCAGCTTCAGGTTCCCTTGGTAAGAGATAGGCAGTTCATTGGACTCGTTACTGCGTTTGATTTTCACTCGGGGTTTGAATGCAGCGTCGAACATCCATACGGGCCGCCCTCTCGTTGCTTTGAAAATTTGGAGTTGCTTTGCAGGGCGGATTCTGGACCAAGCCGGGTTACGGATCTGCACGGTGAACTGCGGCTGTGGCATCACTTAGTACGGGTTTTCGTATGGTTTCTAATGAGTGATCGTGAACAGCCTTATTAACGATGTACTACTGGCCTACTGCCTCGTGGCTTGCCGAGCAAAGCCTAGTTTGAGTTGGAATAGCAAACACGCGTCACCGGTCGAAGTTGCCATTCGACATCACACTCTTCATTGTTTTCAGAACAAACGACGCTGTTTTGGGTTTTGTTTCTTTGTTGCGTATGCATAAGTACACACACATCTCTTACAATTGCATTTTCAATCTTAAAGAACTTGATATACCGCTTCCTTTCGCCTTCATCAGAACTCCTCGCTATGGTGTCGCCAGATCGAATGAGATGCAGTAACTGGCTAGTACTGACTCGGTTTACGGCGTTCAAGGTAACAGCAACCTCTCCCAAATTGCGTTGCGCCTTCCCATGCGCCCATTTCCAAACAACTGTGCAGCGAAAATATAACACTCCTACCATCAACATTGATCGCAAAATCGCCGGCGTTGAAAAAGTCTTCGACTACTACTTTAAGAACAAGATCATTTGCGCAGAGTCAGTCCAAATGGCAGCTCCAGAAGCGCTCCTTATAATCAAGGGCCATGAGTACAGCATTGTCCACAATAGACGCCTAGAGCTTGTCGGTGACAAGATCATGGATCTTGTCTTGTCACAAAGATGGTATCAGGTCCGCAATCAGAATGGTATATACCTAGCTGCACTACATATCTACCGTCATTGATGAAGACTAACAAGAACAGGCCAAACTAGTCCAGTAAAAACCTGGAATGATATCCATAAATCCCTCGTTTCGAACGAAGCTCTTGCAGTACGCGGTTTCAGGCTCGGCCTCGACGCTTATATTGTCCCGGCATCTGGCGTACACGTCACGAAGAACATGATGGCGGACGCGTTCGAAGCCATGGTCGGAGCCGTGTCACTTGATGCAGGAGAAGATGCTATCGAGGCTGTTCGTGATGTTCTTGAGCGTACTGGGTTCTTCAATCATCCTATGCTGGTAAGGTAGATTTCTTTGTTGCCACTTTTCACCGTACGCAGGAGACGATTGCATGTTGCAGCAGGTGGGTTAGATTTTGGCATTGTGGTCACAATGGTCCCTTTGCGTCGGGGATCACTTACTGTATAATATCAGTAGATGAGAGGCATGTCACTAACTGGTCGTGCAGCAGGACCGTAGTGCGAAGTTAAGAGCCGTTCAAAAGAGAGTGGGATTTCATCAGTCAACTTTGTTGAAGAATTGGTAGTTGTGCGTGGCTTGTTAGACATGGACGGACTGGAGCGCACAGATAAGAAACGCTTCAGTTGATTTGGGGTGTAAATCGAGGAGATTCGATTAAATGACTTTATGATTTGAATTGCAAGCGTCGAACGATTTAAACGTCGCGCTGAAGCCCTTCATTCCTTCGTCCAGTCCCGCTCTAGCAAGCTCTTTCGTTGAGCAGCCCTGCTGTGAAACTGGTCCTCCTAGAGGCCCAAGGCACACCATCTCTTCTCACAACGCCAACAGCTCCAGCCACAAAACTTCTTGGCCACTGCAGGTCGCTGTCGGCCTTGTGTCTCGAGTACTGAGTGACGCTTTACGGCGTTGGACACATATTGGGTTAAAATATCATCATACCTCCCTCTTTCAACCAAATCGCTTTCCATAACCCTTCACAACATCATCTAATATCCCCCGCATCCTCTTACACCCCTCAATCCCCACGGCCAGCATACTCTCCAGCCTCTCCATGCGCACTCTACTCTCCATCACACACACCGCCACATTGTCGCTCTCCCCCAGCGTCGCGACCGTCAAAAACGGCAACTCCAACTCCTCCTGATTATTCAGATCCAGCAGCGGATCATCCGCCGACGCATTATCCGCCGCCTCAGCCGACGCAGACGAAGCCGCCGTGCACGCAACTAGGTAATCCGTCATCGGTATACCCGCATCCACCAGCGCCAGCGTCGCCGCATTCAGACAGGCCGCGAGCAACGACCCATCCTGCGACACAACATGCACATTAATCGTAATCGTCGACCTCGGATACAAATGCAGCGACAGCACGCCTTCAAACGCCGAGCGCAAACAATGCTCCATCTCGCTCGTCTTCTTGTCGGTCTTGCGCTTCCGGCGGTCCACGCCGCTGAAGCCCGCAAAGTTTATTTCAACGTCTATTTTTGCGAGTTTGTCGCTGGTGGTGCCGCGTTGGCCGCTTTGCTTGCCTTCTGCGGCGGGGCCGGTGACCGAGACGAGGACTTTGGTGTTGCCCATTTCGAGGTACGAGGATCCGTCTGCGGCGGCTTGTGTGGAGATTTGCGCGTGGATGCGGCGGAGTTCGTTCCAGCGGCGGCCGTCGAGGCGGAGGAGCGCGAGCGAGTAGGTGCTTGTGTCGAGGGGCATTGTGGATGATTTGTTCTGTGATTAATTGATATTTTTTTATTCTTCCTCCCAAATTGGAGGAGACGAGTATAGGGCGACCGGCTACGTCGTGGTGTGCTACAGTTTTCGGGTCGAATGGCTGATTGCGATGATGATGCAAGTTTAGAAAGCTTGAGGCTATGATATTTTGATCCATGCTGCAGCGATCTGCAGGCAAGCGGGGCCCCGCTCTCACGTGAGGACGCGTTGGCGCGTTTGTCGTCAGCGGCCCTTCCTGGCCTCCCACTCGTCGCTTGTTGCTAGCGATATGTCTGTGCAACCTATAGTTCCAGGTACCGATTCGTTCAACCGCCTTGATAAAGGTGCAAATCACCACATATGACCGGCGCTATCATATCGAAACCCGGCAGTAGTAGTCATGACATCCAGTCGCGACAAGTCAAAGGGCCAACGAAAAGCCCTGAGAGCTTTTGCCGAGAGCGAAGAGATGAGTGGTAGTGATACTGATGATGATGGCCTTGACATTATCAAGACATCGCGTAAAGATTTAGATATCTCTCAGTACCTAGATGGTTAGTCGGTATGAGCCTCTATCAATCAAGATATTGACGATCTCTAGTCCTGGCACGAACTCAGACTCAGTCAGAGACTGTGGATGTAGTAGGCAAGGAGAAAGATCCGGAAGATTCAAATACTGAGGACGATGAGGCTTTCCAGGAACTTCCAGACTCAAGAACCAATAAGGCAAATGACTCTGATACGAATGGCATTGGTGAAGAATCTGAGTGGTCTGAAGAAGACACCAGAGCTGCGTACCAGAACTGGAAAGAGCGCAAAACCCTCAAAAGAAAGCGCGTAGCTGCTGAAACTAACAGGATCCGTGCTGAGAAGAAGTCAAAAGCCGCAGCTGCTGCAAGCATCGTGGGTCGTAAGCCTTCGTCCAGGAAACGTCAGGGTGATGGCCCTACAGGATTCAGTACCGACTCCTTAGCCGATGACAGCACCGCAACAGCATTTCTGGATGATCCAATACCTGAATACATACTCTCGAGACAACAAGCTCTTAGAAAACTCCACGAAGCTGGCCTACGGTACCCTCCCAACTACCAGGACATAGACTTCTCTGAGTCAGAAACGGCAGAAAAGCCAAAATTAGACAAAGCCATCAAGCCACAGAGGGAAAGGAAAGATATTAAGCTTCGTAAGTCGCAAGGTGTTATACCGGCGCCTATCGCGCAATGGCTGCGTGACTACCAAGTGGAAGGCGTCCAATTTCTACACGAGAAATTTGTGAAGCAAACAGGCGCCATACTTGGCGATGATATGGGCTTGGGTAAAACGATTCAAGTCATTGCATTTTTGACAGCCGCATTCGGAAAGACGGGCACTGAACGTGACGCCAAGTGTATGCGTAAGACCCGTCGCTTTGGAAAGAATCGGTGGTACCCTCGCGTCCTCATTGTCTGCCCTGGCACACTGATGCAGAATTGGGAAGATGAACTTTCAAAGTGGGGTTGGTGGGAGGTTTACAGATACCATGGCTCCAGTGCAGCAGACCGAAAGGGCGTCCTTAGTGCTGCCGCAAAGGGAATGCTGGAAATCATGATTACGACATACACCACATATCGTAACAACGAGGGCGAAATCAATACAGTAGATTGGGATTGCGTGGTTGCAGACGAATGCCACCAGATCAAGAGTAAGGATGCGGAGACAACAAAAGCCATGAACAAGATTAACGCACTCTGCCGTATTGGCCTTACCGGTACTGCAATCCAGAACAAGTACGAAGAGATCTGGAATCTTCTCAACTGGGCGCGGCCTGGGGCGTATGGTTCATCTCAAGAGTGGAAGCAGAAGATCAGTCTTCCGCTAAGAATGGGCCAGGCTCACGATGCCACAAATGCTCAGCTTGCAGATGCGCGAAGCCGGGCTCAGGACCTCGTTCAGAAGATCCTACCCAGCGTATTTCTCCGACGAATGAAGACCCTAATCGCCGATCAACTACCTAAAAAGAGTGATCGCGTCGTCTTTTGTCAGCTTACCCAAACCCAAGCTGATGCGTACCGCACCTTTCTCGAGAGCGACAGGTGCGAGTTCATCCGCACCGCAAGGGAAGAGTGTGGTTGTGGATCGGGGAAAGGCAGGGGCTATTGCTGTCACGTCAACGTCCCGGGTGAGGACGAGAAATGGGCAGCCTTCATCTTCCCATGCATGGTTACTTTTCAAAAACTCGCCAACCATCTTGCCCTCATCGTGCCACTGTCGACGGATTCTGCAGAGAAGCAAGCCAAAGACTTGAAGACACTGGAGTTGGCATGTCCCGAAACATACAAAGATCTCTTCCGAATCCGCGACAATATTCTAGTACAGTCACAACGAGAGTTTTGCGGAAAATGGAAGGTGTTGAGGCGTTTGTTGGATTTTTGGCATTCGAATGGCGACAAGGTCCTGATCTTTTCGCATTCGGTCCGTCTTTTGCGACTGCTGAGAGGCTTATTCGATGTCGATGGCACAAAATACAACTTCTCGTATCTCGATGGAAGCATGAAGTATGAGGAGCGCTCTCAAGCCGTTGCAGACTTCAACGCAGATCCCAACCAATTCGTATTTCTCATATCTACCAAGGCTGGTGGTGTTGGTCTCAATATCACGTCTGCAAATAAGGTTGTCGTTATGGATCCACATTGGAACCCGGCATACGATCTGCAAGCACAAGATCGTGCTTACCGCATCGGCCAGACGAGGAATGTCGAGGTATTTCGCCTGGTGTCGAGTGGCACTATTGAAGAAGTCGTCTATGCTCGTCAGATCTATAAGCAGCAACAAGCAAACATTGGCTACAATGCTTCAGAGGAGCGTCGCTACTTCAAGGGCGTAATGGACGAGTCTAGCAAAAAGGGCGAGCTGTTTGGTCTCGAAAATCTCTTCAGTTTCCAAGAAGACAGTGTGTTGCTTCGCGACATTATGCACAAGACCAATGTAGCCGAGTCCAAAGCCGGTGTAAATGCCTACGACTTTCATGTCGATGAATCGCAGTTCGACTCGGAAGACGAGGATATACTTTCGAACAAGAATCTTGGCATTGACGACGATGCCAACATCGCTGGGATAAAGAAACTGGCTGATACCTTCCTTTCGACTTCCAGTACTGGCAGCAAGCCAAGCAGGAAGACCAAACACGGCGGACCCGATCCAATCAATGCTATTCTCGCCAAAGTAGGTGTAGAATACACCCACGAGAACTCTGAAGTCATTGGGCGCAGCGAGATAGAGGCTCGATTAGGTAAACAAGCCATGGAGTTGCGCAACGACATCGATCTCGCAAGTGAGCGTGTGTTCCAAGCCTCGCAATCGCAGTCACAGCGTCTTTTCAATCAACTGGGAATTCATCATGGCATTCATTCTGGAGATGAAGATGACGAAGACAGGCAAATAGCTGCGGCTGCTACTCCTGGCGAGTTTAAAATCAATTACCGGTATAGACCTAATGAGCGCGTGCGAAAACGCCAGTTCTGCAGTATGGCGGAGAGCATGGGGTTTGATGATCCGGTTGAGTTTGCGTTGCTTGTGGAAAGTAGTACGCAGGAAGAGAGGAGGAAGATGCTTGAGCGATTCTATCGGGGCCGGAGGAGGCGGATGATCAAAGGGCTTGGCGGTTCGAGGTAGGGTTACGGAAACATTTGCAAAAAGGAGAGTCAAGAACGCGATCGACTTGAGTTCGGTTTCTGATGGTACTACTTCTGCGCTGGTACAGCCAAGTCTCGCTCCTAATGTTGATGTTCATTAAGTAATGCTGAGGCTCCGTTGCAACGTTTCGGGATAGATCCCTTACCTACCCCACTTATGACGGCAACTTATCGGTAGTCAGCACTACTCACCCCAAGATTGGTAGTTTGATCCTGCACCGATTTGCATACAAGAAGCTGTGAACAGCGAGTCAACCTTCTCTGGGTGTCAATGGTAAATCTTTACGCATCACATCCTCACTGCAGACGTTCACCTCCGCAGCAAGCTTGCTAGCATCGCCGCCTCTTAGGCCTTAACCGACATTCCGGCAAGCCACATAAGATATCGCTACTATACTCAATGCAAACCTGGGTATCGCAGTCGTCAGCAGATTATTGACATCATACAACCGACGCAATAATGTCTTGGATCGTGTTTGCGCCATGGATCTTCCCAGCGGCATTGATGGCGTTCCTTTACAGTTATATCCTGTATCCCTTTTTCTTTAGCCCCTTGTCACGTATCCCAGGTCCCAGGTTTTACGCCTTTACCAAGTGGCGACTTGCATGGGACGACTGGACTGGCCAGCGGACACGCAAGATCCATGCCCTACATCTAAAGTACGGACCAGTGGTACGCATCGGGCCGAAAGAAGTGCATTTCAACTCCCTCTCGGCATTACGCACCATTTATGGTGCAGGAAGTGGGTTCGAGCGCACTGAGTTCTATCGGATGTTCGATACATATGGGAGGAAGAACATGTTTACGTTCGCAAGCGGGGTAGAGCATTCACGGAGAAAGCGATTGGTGGCTCGCCCGTATTCAAAAAGTGGCCTTGCACAGTACAAAGTTGAAGAAATCGTGGGAATGAAGACTAAAGACTTTTTGAGACTGGTGAAAACGGATGGCACCCGTAGAGGCGGCTTGGAGATCTTCTCGGCGCTTCACTACTACTCAATCGATATCATCACCACGTTTTTGTATGGGACTCCATGCTTTGGCGCGACCACCGCTCTCAAAGGGACACCAGAACATGTCAAATTACTGGACGATATCATGAACCATACACGCCGGCGACTATCCTGGTTTGCAGTCCATCTACCCTCACTCACGAAATGGATGTACACTCGAACGGGGGTAGTTGAGACCGCTATTCGGCCTTTCCTACCCATGGCCAAGCCTGCAACTTACTCCGGCATCCGGGCGCATGCACTAAGATCGATGCACGCCTACCGCGATGCGGGCGAAATCTCGCGCGCCGAAGCGAAAAAGTCAATCATCAGTGAGCTATATATTTCACAGTCGAAATCCAACAGTGACATGGATGACCTGGATATTGCCAGTGAATGCGCAGACCACCTCCTTGCTGGCATCGACACGACTAGCGATACACTAATGTTCCTCATTTGGAGTCTATCCCTGCCTCGGAATGCACATGTGCAGCAAAAGTTGATTGAAGAGTGCAAATCCATACCCAAAGGTGGCGTCACTGATGGTAGCGTGGACATAAGGGTTGCGGATAGCATGCCGTACCTGAATGCAGTTGTCAAGGAAACGCTACGTCTTTTTGCCCCACTGCCCTCATCCGAGCCAAGACTGAATAGAGCAGACACGGTAGTTGACGGTTACGATATCCCGCGGGGTACAGTATGCAGTATGGCCCCTTATTCATTACATCGGAATGAAAGTGTGTTCCCTGACTCGACCACTTGGAGGCCGGAACGATGGTCGGATGCGGGTAAAAGCGAACTAGCGGAGATGGAGAAATGGTTCTGGGCGTTCTCGAGTGGAGCTCGTATGTGCGTCGGCATGCAGTAAGTGACTTCTGCTGTGTTCCTCGGTGAATCTACTACTGACGTGTTAGCCTCGCCATGGCGGAGATGGCTTTAGTGCCGTCACTGTACCGGAAATACGGGTCGAGGGTGGTTCCGGGACAAGAAAACATGGCGCCGGGTATCACCTCTAGGTTTGAAGTATTTGCCGATGACACATTCCCGGAGATGAAGGTCGGTGCTTCTACTAAGAGCCTCTGGCATGTGCTAACGACCGCTAGGAGCACACGTGCTGGGTGGAGTTCACTCCTCATTAACAATGGAAGAGGGATACAACACTGGGTTGTGAGTGGTTGGCTCCACTTAATGGCTGTCCATACCGGAATGTGGGGTGTCGTATTTTTTTTGAGCCCCGGAAACTATTACCAACATCTTGTAAAATTCTTTCTGTTGCCCATATAACATGGTCATGCGTCCAATCACGAATCTGCCGGTACATCTTCGGTTGGCAAAGCTTTGGCTAGCTTCGGGGGCTTTCCCCCCGACCACGCGCTCCCCACACTGCACTCCACACTCCAATTCTTGGCATCGTCTTCGGGTTCGAGGGATGGCAAACCGCTTGGCGCCAAGTACACCCACAAGATGGTTGTTGGACTACCTCCCAAGCCAATAGTGTATCCGAAGATTCCCCAAGAAGAAAACACCGATGGTAGTCTCTCGGCTCTTGGACACATGATGGACAAGCAAGGCGGAGTAGTGTATGGCGAGCAACATGAGGCTGGAATACAAATATCTGGTTGTAGTCTGCCCAATGGTTAGTCAATTGCATCTCTCGCCACCGTCCACAAAGTGCCTCGTTCCTCACTACCGGCAAGATGGTCGCTCGCAATCGCAGTCAGCGCAAGCTGAACACTTTCACCACGCTGTTCTTCGCTGCAACAGCTATGTCATCAGCAATTCGCACACCATCGTTCGGCAAATCAACATTTCCTCGTATGACATTACGGTCTACTGAGATGGACTCTGCACCATATCGGGACTCAACGCTTTCAGTTGATGAACGAGTCGAGGATCTTGTACAGAGGATGACCATTGAGGAAAAAGCAGGCCAGCTTTTCCACAACATCATCAACCAAGGCCCAAATGGAACCCTCCTCAACGTCACAAAGGAAGCTGTGGAGGGCAAGCTCATGACCCACTTCAACCTTCACGGGCCGATTGCGGATGTACGCGCCACCGTGCAATGGTACAACAACCTGCAGCAAATGGCGCTAGACACAAGACTAGGCATTCCAATCACAGTCTCGTCGGATCCGCGTCACGCATTCACCAACTCTGAAGGCAGTCAGATTGCAGCAACAAAGTTCTCACAATGGCCCCAGACACTTGGTCTAGCCGCGATCAGAGATGCTGAGCTTATCCGAACTTTCGCTGATATTGCTCGACAAGAGTACAATGCTGTTGGCATCCGGTCTGCCCTACACCCTCAGATCGATGTCGCCACTGAGCCCCGCTGGGCCCGTATCGGCGGCACCATGGGCGAGAATGCCACTCTGACTGCTGAACTCACTGTTGCATACATCGAAGGATTCACTGGTCCTGATGGATTTGGATATGATTCGGTCACCACAGTCTCGAAGCATTTCCCCGGCAGTGGTCCAGTCGAAGGTGGTGAGGATAGTCACTTCACCTATGGCAAGAATGCTACATACCCTGGCAATAACTTTGAACACCATCTTATCCCATTCAAGGCTGCTATTGCTGCCGGAACTAGACAGATGATGCCTTACTACTCTCGCCCAATGGGCACCAAGTACGAGGAGGTCGCTGCTGGAATGAACAAGGGAATCGTCACTGATCTTCTGCGCGGCGAGCTCGGCTTCGATGGCATCGTAGTCAGCGACTGGGGTCTCGTCACTGACTCCATCATCTTGGGCCAAGACATGCCCGCCCGAGCCTGGGGCGCTGAGAACCTCACCGAGCTCGAACGCACCGAGAAGATCCTCAACGCTGGAACCGATCAACTCGGCGGCGAAGAACGCACCGACCTCATCCTCGAGCTCGTCGAGAAGGGCATCATCAGCGAATCCCGCATCGACGCCTCAGTCCGCCGTCTCCTGCGCGAAAAGTTCCTCCTGGGCCTCTTTGACGAAAAACGCTTCCTCGACGCCGACGCCGCCGTCGCCGTCGTCGGCAAAGACGAATGGCGCGCCATCGGCTTCGAAGCCCAAAAGCGCTCCTTCACCCTCCTTACAAACAAAGACTCCTTTCTCCCCCTCTCCACCTCCGAATGCGCAAAGTCCAAATTCTACGTCGAGGGCATCAACAGCACGTTCCTTACCTCGCGCAACTTTGAAGTCGTCGCTACGCCCGAAGAGGCAGACTATGCTTTCCTGCGCCTCGTAGCGCCATATGAGCCGCGGCCCGGTGGCTTCGAGGCAAACTACCACTCCGGCTCGCTTGAATACAACGCTACGGAACGGGCGCGCCAGGCAGCTATTTACGCTACCGTACCTACCGTTGTCGACATCTTCCTCGACCGCCCCGGTGCGTTCCCCGAGGTCGCAGAGCAAGCGGAAGCCCTCATGGTCAACTTTGGCGCTAGCGAGGATGCGTTCCTGGATGTTGTGTTTGGTGTCGATGGAAGCGGGCCAGAGGGTCTGCTGCCGTTTGATTTGCCGCGCAGTGACGAGGCGGCTAAGGCGCAAAAGGAGGATGTGCCGTTTGATACTTTGGACCCGGCGTTCAAGTTCGGGTATGGATTGAGGTATGAGTAGTAATCTTGGGGATGATGTAGGATTAGAGAGGGACTTATGAGTAATGGTATTTAAGAATATGATAATGAATTATTTTTACATGAATGGAAGTTCGCTTGATGTGATGAACGTGAAGAATGTTGAGATTGAATTTCTTTTGTTGGAAGGGGCGATGTTGTTCTAGCCTTACCTTTAGTCTACACATAGAGCATAGCTGCCTGGGGTACATGTAGACCGAAGCTGGGCGATGGGAAAGGTTATCCCCAAGGTGCCTGGGCAACAGTGGTAGCCTGGAAGGGAATCAGCTGATTGGATACAAAAAGTACTCATATGATTAGCTGGGGTTACCCAACATCACATGCAATACGATCTCATCCTTGCTCTACCCTGCAGTACCTCCAACTACTCCAGAAATGATAGCCGTGAGGCTGCTAGCTTGTATACTGCAGATTCAGGGTTCAGTAGAAGCACGTGCAGCGTGAGGAGAGGGGAAAGAGACGGTGAAGGCAGCGCGATCAACATAACATGAAGGGAACATCCTACTATATGCTGTGACGACAAAGTGCATAGCGAGCATGATGTAAAGAAGGTATGATGTAAAGAGCAGATACATAACAGGGTCACTAGGCAGCTAGCGGACCGACTCAAAAGTTCACGCACACCGCTCCGGTGATTGACCGCGCCACAGTGGCTGGAGGTCAGGATACCTCTGGTGGCCACGAGAACGGGGAGCTCCGGTGTTGTGGCGGTGCAGTGTCTCTTGCTTATTAGTATTAGTTACACTGGACTGTAGTAGTAGTAGTAGTAGTAGTAGTAGTAGTAGTAGTAGTAGTAATCGCCCTAGGCATTCCCCACACACCACACCGAGATAGATCATCTCCCAGGGCACCACTGCATCCACACCACGTATGAATCTAGTATATGCGCGCCCCATCAGCCTATTCTCCGGAAGACCCTGATCTTCCCCTTGATACTGCGCGACATGCGGGGGGGAAACGGGCCCATTCCATCACAGAGCCAGTCGATAGTCGTGGAGGGCTGAGGCTTGTGTGTGGTGGGCCCCCTAGGCGCACTACCCATGCACGATGATCACAGCCTACATGAACACAGCCTGGTCGGACATCCAGCCCACCCACGCGAAGCTTCGAAATGCGTCCAAGGGCCCGCAAAATTTCTCAATACGACGCTGCCTATTGCCAGCTTGGGAATTTCCGCCCAGATGACGCCATGGTGTCTTGTGAGATTGACCTGGGCTCACTGCTGCCACCCTGCCCTACTCCCGTGGTTTAAGTGTCAGATGTTCGCCGCCGCCTGCGCTATCTTTTAACTCCACCACCCCAGCACAACCACCTCGACTCACTCTTCACCACCAAACTATGGGACGCCGTGAGAGACAACCTTCGCCCCCTCCCCCTCCCCCCATGGGAGGCCCGCCATGTAAGAAGAAGTTTTCTGGAGTATTATTTGTTAGCATACTAACTTTGTGTAGCCGACTCCACCTACGTCTTCGACAACTACGAGAACGGCAAGCCAAAATGGGCACCTGGCAAAGACCACCAGCGCGACTATCACGAATACCGCGATAGCCGCAGAGGAGATCATCGTCGTCCTCGCAGAAACAGATATGACGAAGATGAGGGGCCTCCACCTCCACCGCCACAGGCACAGGGTGCATATCCTCCACCCCCGCCACCAGGACAAGGAGCACCGCCACCACCTAGAGGTAATTGGTCGAATTTACATTTCCATCCTGACGTATCAACTAACAACATGATAGAAGCACCTCGAGACTCTCGACCCCGCCACCACCGCAGACAACCCTCATACTCCTCCGACTCCGACTCAGGCGGCCCACCCCCACCACGCCGCAGCAACCGCCGCGAAGAGCGCCCCCGTCACCACCGCGAGGACACCTACGACTCGTACGACGAAAATTACCCTCGCCGCCGCCGAGAACGCGAGTCCGGGCGTCGCGACCGCGACGGCTACAAATCAGAAGGCTACAAGTCTGAAGGCTACAAATCCGACCGCAGGCCCCGCGACCCTTACTACTCGGACCGTGACCGTGACCGTGACCGTCGCGAGAAATCCCGTGGCGATCGCAGACACCGTGATGACCGCTACGACGACCATCGCTACGACGACATGTTTAACAGCCGCCCCGCCCGCCGCGATAGCCGCTATGATGATAGGCCACCGCGTGATAGACGCGGGTACTATGATGACTACGAGGACCGCTATGGTGATCGCAGGAGAAGCACGAGAGATAGCAAGGCGAAGCCTGAGTGGCAGAAGCAGGCGCTGGGTATGTTCAAGGATTATGCGCTGCCGATTATTAAGAAGGAGGGCGCAAGGTATGTACAGAAGCAGATGGCTAATGGGTTTGGGAAGCGTTGAGCTGAGGGTTGGGTGATGGATTCGAATGAGTTTTATTCTTTACTTTATTTTGGATACGAGTGATAGACTTTTTTTTTTGGATATTTGTGTATGCAGCGAATTGGGGGAGGGGGGGGGTTAGGGTTTGGTACCTAGCTAGGCGTTACGGGTGCACTATGCTGATGATATCCACCTTTTCTCGTTATTTCTTCTTCTATCAAGAAATTGTCTTTTCACTTTCGACGAGGATTTTCCCCATGTAGACCATTGATATACTGTGTATTAATTTTTCGGTTATATTTCAAATCCCCGATTTTTCATTGAGATTTCTTTCTCTTTTTTTGCCCTTCCCTAAGACTACGTAACGTATAAATGGGATCCAGTATATACAGACTCTCCTCCTTTCCGAAACATATTTCTTAAGAATGACCCCCTTTATCCCCTTCCACCGTGCAATTAACCTGACTCTGGATCCCCTCTACATTCGCACAGGTGAACAGGTTCGTGCCACTCGGACTCTTGACGTCGATATTCTCAATGGAGATGTCACTGCAGACTTTGGGGCTGGAGCAGACGACGTAGCCAACGCGGGGATCGTACTTTTTGCTCGTTGTGCCCTTGAAGTTTTTGATAGTGATGTCGGAGATTGTGAGGTTGGAGGGGAACTAAGTCGTTTGTGTTAGCAACAGTTGTGATTTTGTTGGGAGAGGAAAGGGGAAAAGGAAGGAAACGTACCTGATTGCACAAGGTCAAGTTCTTTTGTCCGTAGCACTGCGTAATCTCAATGGCGTAATCGACGTTCTTGACAATCATGCCGTCGTACGTGACATTGCGCACGGCGCCGCTGCCGCCTCCGCCTTGCAGGTCACCGGAGAGCGCAGAGGAAGCGCCAGGCCAGACTTTGATGCGTGCACCGTCCGAGGCGTTGGACATGGAGATGTTGCGCACAAGGATGTTTTCGACAATGTCGACTTCGCCGGGGTACTGGCCGAGCGAGCCGACGCTGATGCCGTGGCTGCCGTTGCAAACGAGGTTCTGCACGAGGATATTTGTGCTGTTTGGCTTGAAGGAGACGCAGTCGTCGCCGTTGTTGATGTTGGAGTTTTGGATGATGATGTTGTCGGAGCGGTAGGTGTCCCAGCTACATTCCTTATAGTCAGTTTTTCTGATAAAAATCATGCTTGTCAAGGTAAAGAAAACTCACCCATCAGTGTTCTTGGCGGGATTCTTGCTCTTGCTGTCGCCGAAAATGTCAATGTTGGAGAAGATGACTTGGCTCGAGTTGGCGACCAAAGTGTACCACTGTGGGCTGTAGCGGAACTTGAGATCAGAGATTTTGGCATTCTTGGCACCGATCAAACCAAAGAGAATGGGTCGTAGGATGTAAATGTCTTTGGCGTAGAGGTCGTACCAGGCTTGGCCGTTGCCGTCTAGGGTGCCGCCGCCGTAGACATTGATGTCCTTGCCTCCGAGCTGGAAGAAGGTGGTTGCATTCTGGAAAACCTGCTTGAAGGAATTGGCTTGCCAGTAATCAGTGTCATTTGTGAACTGGATGGTTCCTTGGATATCTGAGGGAGCTGTTAGTGGGGCCATTCAGGAAATGCAGGGGTTGGACGAACCTAGATCAATGCCATTGAGGAACGTAAGATCCAGGGCGGTGCCAATGGTGAACTGCTGGCCCTTGGGGAAAACAACATGGCCGCCATTATTGCATTGCTTAACAGCGCTGAGGATGTTGGCAGAGTCGTCCTTGCCACCACCGAGAGCCTTGAGCATGCAGGTCTTATTTCGGGAACCCGGCACCGAGGATGCCTTTCCCGGGAGAAACGGCACGGGCGGGAGGCGTTTTGCCACAACAGCCTTTGCTCCAAGCTCTTCAACTGGAGTCGATAATGCTATCGAAGCTTGTAGCAGGGCGCACGAGATAATGTCGGTGACACGCATGATTGCAGCCGTTAAGAAACCGTTGTGGTTGAGTATTGATGGTCACGGCTGTCAATCCAAACTCGTTGATGTGCCAGAGGGCTTGATATTAATACCCCCCATGCAATATCCTCGAGCCGTTGGACCCGCGGCCTTGGCTCTGGTCTTTGCCCCCTAATCTCAACATTCAGGTTAGTAGGTTCGTGGGCGCGGAGGAATTGGTGATCCATCCACGATGATCCCAGTCTCTCCTCACGGCCACAAGTGGCTAAAACGCCCACTTCTGTGGCGCTAAGCTAAGAAAAGCTAAGCTTTCCCCATCTTCCTAGCCGCTTGGCCGAGCAGATTGGTGGGTTTTTTCCAAATCTCCCGTGCCATGACTGTCTTTGAGATGCCGCCTATGTGAGCATGAACGTGCGTTCATTCTTTGGTGTAAGCGTCTTCCTACTTGTTGATAACGGTGAGACTCTCCATGTACTCCGAGTCAGCCGTCCCGGGTTTACCATTCGTTTTATTGCAAGGTACACCGTTTTGCATGCTGACAACTTTATATTGACGTTGGGACGTGAAGTTGCTGTTCCTTTTTAATGCCCACAAGGTCAAATCCCATGCTATTTTGTAAGTTTTATTATTCGTAACGCTTCTGTTGGATCTAGAGATTAAAGTCGCCGGATTATCACCTTTGCGACCGACAACTGTAATTTGGTCGAGTCAGTACTGGCGGTTAAGTAAGGAACAAGACGGATTAAACTCCATAAGCCCAATTTGGAAAGTTAGAAACACGTGGTGGAGTAAGAAAACTAGGTGAAATTATCAGCTGATCCTATTGTTTGGAATCACCTGCGAGGGGTTGTCTTGTATTGTGGAAGGTTACTCGTAGTCGCTTCCGGTTATGCCTGTTCAGGAAAAAGGCTATTTATCTCTCCCTAGATAACAAGGTCTGATCCAATGCATACATACTAGATGACGCGACCAAGTGTGTATCACCAACGACATCTACTAATGCGCTATACCTCCGCGATATCGAGGCCACCAACTTAACTCACATTCCAACCTTCCTCACGCTCACATAACAAACCCCATCTCACATAAGCACCGAATTATATTTCGCCAGCAAGAAACAAACCCGAAACAACGCCCTCGGTCATCAAAATTACCATTCTAATTTGCAGAATGCACATCCCTTCAACCCACCTATCCCCCCAAACACCCTTTTTTTTCACGCACAACCTCCCTCTCACCCGCCTCCATGACACTAGCGCCTATTCATTACCTGTCTCCTCCCACGGGAAACGGGAGTGAAGCGGGCCGTGCATAAATCGTGTGTCGTGTTGTACAGCCGTCTCTGTGGCACGCTTCGCTTGGGGAATAAGGTGGACGAATGGATCGGGGGATTGGGGAATCGGGAGGGTCCGAGGGGTGGGTTGGAAGAGGGTAGACGGGTGAAGATGTGATCGGGGGTGTGTGATCGTTCCTCGCCCGGAGCATGAGGGGGAGGCGGGAGGGGATTTTTTTGAGTTTTGTATGATTGAGTGATGGTTGTTGGGGAGAGATTTTCGGAGGGGTACTTGAGGTGATGAGTCGGAAAATGTGGAAGGGTTATTGGTGTTTATGGTAGACTTGAAGATTTGGGTGTGGTCTTGTAAAGAAGTTGATATTGGGGCGCGGGAAGAAGCGATAGGGCATTTGCAATGCCTATTATCGTTATATGTACTCCGTGCGTGCATCGTCGTCGCCACAGATAAAACGCACCAACATGAAACGATGGAACTATACTAGAAGATGCTGGTAGTATGTACTTGGCTGTTAATGAAGCGAATCCGAAATCATGGCATTAAAAAGCGACGACTCTTTCTTGCTGAGCACGAGAAATTAATGCCATACGTCATAATCAGTATACAGCGATATATCGGTTAGAGTCTTCTTCCCATAAGAAAATGGAAGAAAGAAGGAGGTGCAGAAGCAGGATCGCATTCGCGGTGCGAAAATGACATATTGATTCGAAGCCAACAATGGTAGTACTCGATAGCAGACGGTGAATGGCAAACGTCAATGAAAGCCTGGTAATCTATTCACTCAACGAGAATGTACATTTTATTCCAACATGAAGACCCAAATGCTTGCTAAACCGAACAATCGAGACACGTTACAAGACGCAGTAGGAGAACATGAACCCTCCCCAAACCAAGCCTATTCAATAATATTTCGCTCGCACCTTCCTTTTACACTCAACCAACATTTTCTCTGTAAACAAGCTGATCATCGAACATGCACGATGGACCGGTAACAATGTCCTCCTGCCATACCCCCTGGTCCAACGGCGTCCGCGGCTCATCGGCAGTCGGACTTGAGCTGTTGGTGAAAATGCTATCTGACGAGCTCTGATGAAGCAAATACGCCGTGTCGGTAATGGGCATTCCCTGTGACATTGGGCTACCGATGTAAGATGAGGCAGAGGAGAAGAGATCCATGTTGCAGCCATCAGGTATAGGACTGTCTGGGAAATCGCTGTTCTGGGGTGTGTAGCCAAAATCAGTCTCGCTTCCGGTGTATGGGGAAGGCGGAACCGAGGACGGGAAACCGTAGCGATGGTACGAGGGGCTAAAGGCTGTGGGGACCGATCGCGACATGGGTTGAGTGCTGAGGTAGGCTTCGTGCATATGGGCAGATCGCTTCAACCGCGCGGCACGACGGGCTGCTTGACCACCCTTTGCGCCAGAAGCCTGACGTTGGGGCTGGGGTTGATGAGTGCGATTGCCGCGCTTGTTGGGTTGCTTGCTACGATATCGTGTTGTCGACTTGACGCCTTCGCGGATCGCTTGCTCCGTAAGGCGCCACATGAAGCCTCTCCGCGCCTCGTCGCCGGGCTGGTCAACTTTTTCGAATGCCTGTCGCTCTGTCAGCCACTAGTCGACCAGGTCACTACAAGATAACTCACGCCATTCATTGATAGGTTATGCCTGATACTGTTCTGCCATCCTTTGGTTTCCGAGCTGCTGGCCCTGTCTGTGTTTTTTCTGAACCAATCGTAGATGTCACGCAGTATCATGGTGTGATTTGGCGCATTCAAAAGCGCCCGGTAGATCAACTGCGCGTACGGCTGCTCCCTGTCGAATATTCCAGCATCTCCAGCGTTAGGGTCCCGGATGTGTCTGAGAGTTTCGTCATGAGGGGCAGAGATTTGTGCCGGGTCAGAATAAGGACTCTGGTAGTGATTGTAGTCTTCGACTTTGATGGGACAGGCGTATTGGTGATGATCATAGTCATTGCTGAGCTGCATCAGCTGGCTCTTGATCTCGTGATCTGATGGATCCATGGCATCATGATGCTTTGGCGGCTCGATGTGATAGGCGTTTGGTGGGAATGAGTCCGCGACGGAGAGGTCGTGGGGCAGGCCGCTCGAGTTGAAGGCGTTGTACGAGCGGGGGCAAGTCGAGACGGAGTACTGGGCAGGGCAGGTGAGCTTGTAGTTGCTTTCGTAAGACATGCCGTGCTGGGGGAAGTGGTAGCCATGGCCTGGGGCAGATGAGAAGCCATTGGCTGCGTGGTAGGCGTCACCATTTTGAGTAGCGGGACTGAAGCCAAAGCCTGCTGGCACCGGACGGGGCATGCGTTGTTGCTCGTCAAAGTTCATTCTCGGTTGCGAGGAGGGGCAGGTGGTGAAGGAGGCAGATGGGTCGGCAGTGGCAGGCAGGCAAGGTGCGTCGGCAGGTAATGTAGTGGAGGACTGAGATGGCAGTGGGCTGTGAGGGCGGAAGGGAAGCGCGGCACAAATGGGGCTCTCTGGCGGCGGGACAGCATCGAGACCGCAGTGTGAGTCTTGGGCAGCAGGACAATGGGGTGACTGGGCATGTGGCATCGTTGTGTTGTCGTCCTTCTATCGGCCTAAACGGTGAGAGGCGGGCGTATCGATACGGGGGACGGGGAAGAGAGTGCCAGCGCCGCGTGTGAAACCAGCAGAGTGGCGCAGAATAGACAGAGACGACAGTGAAAGGCAGTGCCGGGAAATGAAGCGAAGAGCCAGACATTTACATGCTCGCTCGGCCCGCAGCGAATGGCATTTGATCAGCACCATTGTATTGTCATTGTCACCTGCATGTCTCCCTGGACGGGTTCCTACTGTACCGCAGGCTTGACGCTGCAGCGGCAGGCGAGAAGGCAAACAAGAAGTGAGTGGTCATGGCAAAGGCAGAGAGCATCTTCACACCACCACTACCACTGCGACCACCACCACCATCATCACCACCACGCTTGACACTGATGCAGATGCAGGGCTGGTATCACGGGAATCACAGCTGCCGCTATGCCATCATTGCCTCCCGGGCCGAGACGGAGCCTGGACATGTACATTGCACTGCTGCTTTTGACAGTCGGAATGACTACCTGTGCTACCGCCACAGCCAACGATTGTTTCGCCGGCACAGGGACGACGGGAGCCTGCATACCATCTAGACTATTTGCAACATGGGACCGTCCGAGCCCCGGGCCAGGTCTGAGCCCAGATCCTCCCATCTTCGATCTTGCTGCCCGCTCCCAGATGCTGCCCATGGTCATCATCCCCCCGTTCATGAAATATCTTCCACGCCAATGCCCATCGTCGTCATTCGCAAGGGACCACAACGAATGCCCATCAAGCAGCAAGCGCTTGCCCATCACCGAGCGGCTGTGCATGGAATGTGCAAGCAAATCTACAGTAGCTTGTCAGTCCCATTTATGCGCAAGGCACAGGGATGCTACCAGGTAGCCTGCGCCTGCAAAGAGGCTGCCGCGAGCAGCCCTTTGGGGACGACAGTCTCCACACCAGCCTGTAACACAACCCTCCAAGCCTTGATTTCCGGTGAAGCTGCTTCAGAATCCCTGTTGGGCCTCATCCAGAAGTAGTGTTCGTCGTCATTGGCCAGCCGTCATGGCAAGGCCGTCACCGCTTAGGTACTTACATACACCGCCAGCGGTTCCTGCTATCAAGATGCTGCGTTGGTCACCGCCAGCACACGGCGTCACAGCCAGTGCCGTAGTCGGGACATGTCTGCCATCCATGCCATGCTGGCTATGACATAGTACCTATCATTGCGCGAGACCTTGTGCAATGCCTGCCCTGCACCCCGTTCCATTGTCGGCAGGCCATGCAAGAGAGAGAGCTAGTTGCTCCTGGGTCGACTGCACAGCCTTCATGCTCAAAACGGGCACTATGGTTACTTTCGATAGTATATCTGCCACATGTTAGCTGTGACACCATCGTCATCAGATTTCGTTGGCCTACCTTCTTGAACTGGAAATGGAGCTGCAGAATACCCTATCGTACATCAGCAACCTATCGACCAAGCCACAACTCTTGAGCCTACCTTATCAAAGCTACTCTTGAACCCGCGTTCTCTCTTCGCACTGTAGTCCCATTCTTTGTCGACGATCCTGAACGCAATGTCTTCATAGGGCGGACCGGCAATAAAGCGTATCAGGCACGTGTCGTCCTCGCCAGCAGGCGCAAACGACTGTCCCTTTTTGCGGCCATGCTCGCGCTCAATCTTGTAGGTAGGCGCCTTGCTTTTGTCAATGAGGTCAGGGTAGAAGATGTTGAACTTGTAGCCTTGTACCACCTTGGGTGGCGGATTGTCGTGATCGTAATGTGTCTGGTTGTACTTGTTCCATTCGTAGCCCATCTGGACGCGATTGAAGTAGCGAGGCTTTCTAGGCTTGTAGCTCCCATCCGACTGGGAACGGGCAGTGGTGACCTCTTCTTCAGCATTGAAAACCTCTTCACCCTCTTCAACTCCTCGCGCCACTTCTCGCTCGTACAGCGCCATGGTTGCCTTGGAGTAGTCTTCTTTGTCGACAGGCGCAAACCGCGAGGCGCTCGTTGTCACAGCCTGGCTTGTCGTAGGCTGGCTACTAGCCACAGCCTTGTCGCTCGTTTTGGTCTGGCTAGGAACGTAGCCAACTTTCTGGATCTTGCGTCGCTCAGCCGTCACGTGCTCGAGGAACGACTTTTCCTCGACCTGCGGCAGGGCCTTGTCTTCGGCACGCAGCTTCAGCATGGGCTCTGGATCCATGGCTGCGTCATATGCAACTGTTGTAGGCTGCACCTCGGCTGTCTCATCATTGCCCTTGAGCATGGAATATATGTTGGCTTGTACAGACGCAGCCGCCTCGGCCTGCTGCTTGCGCAACGTCTGCAGTCGCTCCTTGACAATCTCCTGGGACACGCGCCGCAGCTTTGCCTTGGCTTTCCATACGCGCAGACTCCGCAAAAGCTGTTCCCAGTAATCATAGTCGATGGGCTCGTCCGAGTCCAGCTTCCGCTTGACCTGCACTTCGAGAGCCTCGAGCTGTTCATATGACTTTGGTGAGAGCAGCTGGTCAATGTCGGCAGCTACAGAGCTGGTGCCTCGTGCCTCGGATTTTGTTGTCCTGGATTTGCGCCGGATGTCTTTGCAGATGACTTTGAGTGACTGGTCTGGTCAGCTATGTAGAGGCGGTGTATAGGACAAATACTCACATTCCAGTATTCGCGATTACTCTTGCTCGTCTCGAGCGTGAGGTAGTTCTCAATCTCCTTCTCCAGCTCTGCAAGGTCCTCGTTATCCAAGCCCTCAAGTACGCCCTCGGGGTCCACAATGTCCAACTCATGATCTTCCACCTCTTCGTCCAGTATCGATTTCTCAGCAGGGTCAATGAAGCGCAACGTGACGGCCAGCCAGTCAATGGGCTTTGCGCGTCCGCCTCTGACGCGTAAGGCTGCCTTCTTCTTGGCCTGTTGAAGCACAAAACGATCCTCATCTGCTACCCAGGCCTCTTCTGCCGCGTTGGTCGAGCGTTTGGAGGCATTGTCGTAGGATCGCGACTCGGCGGAGCGCTTTGCTGGAATCGATGACGCTGGCCCATTGCCTTGGGCGCGGCGACTGCTATCATTTCGCCATGGAGGTTCACGAGACGACATTTTGTGTGTGTAATTAGGTGATGGTTTCAGTATTTATTGGATATGGCTGTCACAGTGCGAATGTTTAGGTAAAGACTGCGATCGCGAAATCTTTGGCCGAGGCTGGTGACGTACGGACCTCCTTCCGCACCCACAGGGATCTGTTCCGCTTTTAGCAACAAAGCTTGGCGCTGTTGCCTTTCATTACCATGCGATGCTCTCTCCTGGAGCTCCATGGTCCTCGTCTGCCTGTCTCTAGGCATTTAATAAGCCGTTGAATATGGGCATGACTGCTGCTTCTCATTTCTCATTCTACCAACATGTCTTGCTGGCGCGTCCTGAAGCTCTGCGAGCAACCAGATAACCGGCATGTACCCCAGCTACTTGTCAAGCCCGTCTTCTCTCCGGACTCGTACATTGTGCATCTTACGGATTTGAGTAACGTGTGGTCTGAAGAGTTGAGTTTGGATGATATCGTGGACCGAGCTTCGCAGGAGCAATCGCCAATCGAAGTAAGCAAACAGGACACAGCGCAGCTTGGTGTCCTTCTAGAAAACATCGCAAAGCCTCTGGGCAATGCAGACGATGCACTCTGCCGGATGACTCGTAACGGACAAGATGGCATCATCTTGCATGCGAGCATCATCCTTCCAGAGCCGCTCGGCCACTTGTCATGGAAGTTTCAGATGCAGAAGTGTACATCATCTACAGTCCTCAAGAACGAGCTCATTCTCCCGCTGCTTGTATCTTCGCACATCCAAAATGAACGAATCGCTGGTCTCATAAAAACAATCACAAGCAAAGATAAGGCAATCAATCGGCTGCTAGATCAATTTGAATCCAGTAACCTGGGCTTAGCTGCCGCTTTCCCCGGTGCGGGTAGCATGAAGACGGGAAGGCGGACGATCAAACGTGAGCAAGCCGCAAAGCACGTTCCCGCTCTGAAGCCATTTCATGAGGCAGTGTGGAGGAAAGAGACTGGGCAGTTAGAAGACTCGGAACTAACTTCGCTGGGCTTGTTCCAGGAAGCGCTGGCTCAGAGCACCCCCGCTGTGCCACAACAGCTAAAGTCGGATGACTTGGAAGTCTGCTGGTGGACCTCAGTGCCGACACATTTGACTGTATCGAAGGCTCCAGCAAATGGCAAGACACGGAAGTCTACGGTGCTTTCTAACGTAAGGGATGCTTCAGAGTCAACTGAAGAGGAGACAGAAGACGAGTTTGATACTCATGAGCATTTCAAAGTAAGCGAAAGACGCACACTCGTTGTGTAGCATGACTGACGTATTTGTCGACCCGTAACCATCCTGGTAAGCCCATGAATGTCACGACAGCGCCGGGACAAAAACCTTCTTTAAACGGACACGATGAGGACGAGAGCGACAGCACTGAAGAAGAGCTTGACCTTGATACACCAGCAATAAGCTGCAACACAACTCAAGTTCAAGAATCTTTGCAATCTCAATACCGAAAATCGCCCTCACCTGAACATCTCCCCTCTTCTCCAACAATTGCTTCATCGGCGAAGAAGGCAAATGTAGACAGTTTTCGAATAGGAGGAGAGCGAAGGAGAATATCGTCCTCGCCCTCATCAGGTACTCCAGATGAAGAGGCCAGGTCTGATGATGTTTTGACCACGAGGGAAGCAGCTCCTGCATCTCCCAAGCAAGCAGATGTCGCCTCCACACCAAAGAAATCCAAAAAGCATTTTAGGATTGGTGGGAAAGGAAGAGCTAGCCAGGACGGCGCTTCACAGTGCGACGCTACAATTTCCCCGAGTAAAATTCGCACGAGGGCTACGCAATCGCCAACTGCAGAACCACCATCATCACCACTACCGCACAGTGTAACTAGAGAAATGACGCCAGTCGAAGAGGAGGTTGAGGAAACACCAGAAGAGAAGGCAGAACGGCGGCGTGCTGAACTTAAGCGAAGGAATGATGAGGCAGCTAAAAAGCAGGCCCAGCAAAAGAAAAAGAAGAGGTTCTGAGCTACGGTATTTTGTATGAGTTGAGACATACCTAGCATTCCGCCCCCAGGCCGGTGACTTTGCGCGTTAAGTTTGCTGGTTGAACTTGATACCTTTCTTGAACTTCCGCTTGGAAAATCGTTTCCCCATATGTAGCAATTCAGCTCGTTGTTAAAGTCTTGGTAAAATCATATCAAACTACCCTTTCACTCCTCATCCCCACACCTTCACTCACTGGCGCACACTCTTTACACATGCGTTTGTTGGGTACTAAGCCCTTTCCAATTATGTATCACCATCAAAATTGCACTTGCTGCCTTATCGAGTCTGCTTTGTTGCTTCTGTTTTGATAGTACTATTACCTTGGATCTTTCCTGGAGAAGGAAGCGAACAACGCCTACCCAGCAACATGTGTATCTACCATTACTGCTATTTTTCAGCTTGTCGACACGGTCAACTTACCAGAGTATCCTACTGCGACAAAGCGACAGCGCTTTTACTGTACGTATCCTCACTCAATAGTGTTTACTTCCCAAAATTTGCTAACCTAGTTAGTAACAGCCGTCCGCAGTGCATCGCGGATGCAAATAGTAGCCGCGGAAAGCAATTCACCGTGTCTTCCTTACGTTCCTCAACATTAGAGATCAACAGAATTAGCTCGTCACGTATGGATAGCCCGCCACAGCACCAGTCACAGCATAACAACACGATGTCATCCGTTACGCCATCAGAAGCTAGTCGCTCTTCATTTTCGCACAACATCGTCCAGAACCAAGACGAGAATGAAACTAGAGAAGCTGCTTTGGTTCTACGATCCGGGCTTGTTGAAGAAGAATGTGTCAAGCGTGAGCATGTACTGAATCATGCTCCCTCACTTTTGGATAGCCAGGGCCTAGGCAATGTCTGCATCGACGTTGCATTGAGTACTAAGTCCTCTCTACAAATTGATAATGCAAAAAACGGTAAGAAATCTGCGCCCATGGCTTTGTCCGAGTTGTGTGTCGGTTGCTCTAACGTCTTTCAAGTTTCATTCAACGACCTCCCAAGTTCACCCAGCTACTGCACCAGTCCAACCATAGGCTGCACCGTGGGCTCTCCTCACGAGCACAATGAAGATCAGTCTGTCGCACAGAAGACTGAGCAGCCTCAACAAAGTCACCGGAAACCAATTCCCGACCATTGGCTTCCCAAAGCCGCCAGTCCAAAGCTTGCGACTGCACAACGTGCGAAAGAACGAACGTTGAAGAGAAGCTCTGATAACGGTTCGCCAGGATATCCGAAGGGAATTCGTGCAACGCAAAGCTCCGTGGACTTGGGTAGATCTCACGGCAGAGAGGGTACAACATACCTGACAAAAGAAGCTCTGGAAGCCGTTGAAACCACAATGACGCCTCCTAGACAACACACAGGTTCTGCGAAATTTTCTAGTTCTACTTTGAAGCCAGCATGGAACAGCCCTACATCACCGCTACGCAGTGTTGCACGCCAGAAGTCTGGGTGCTCGCTCAAGATGTCACCCACAAAGCCCTCGCATCTTCCAAACAAGTCTACAGCAGCGGATCATTCGCGACTATTTAATAGTGTTACTGCCTCTGCGAGCAAAAATTCGTTTCATATCACGGATGGCTCACCGGTAAGAAGCCCTTAGCTTCCGCCAGCTACAGAAAGTTCTGCTGATGTAGATACTTGTATATGTCATGTGAATGCTGACTAAAATAATTAGCATAAGTCTCGGAATGTCAACACAGGATCGGTCTCGCCGGTGAAATCCAAGAGTGAGAACCAACCAATCTCCAAGGCCAAAGTTTCTCTTCGTATCGTTGTGCCGAATACAAGTACAGGCCATGACAAAGATCTTAGAGCATTGAGTCCAAAGGCTACGAATGCTCCTAACAGTAATGGTTCGATGAGTCCAGTTTCTACCACAAGCATATCCCGCATTCCTCGCGTCGGCACAACAAACAAAGACCAGAGCTCATCTCGTATTTCCGCCCTGCAGAAAGCAAAGTCTGAAGTAGGGACCATGCGATCAAAATCAAAGGTGCTCGTAGACATGCCTGTAGTGTCGAATGAGGTAGCTCGCTTCAACACGCCCATGTCGAATATCTCACGTGGCTATTTGGATGAAAACACGCATCCAAATCCTATCGACTCTCAGCATCACAATCATGTCCTCGAGACGAAAAAAGAGGGAAGTTCCCACCATAACGATTTCCAAGACCATCAGGCAGCGCATGCTCACTTTCGTATGTCAGCTAAGCCAGCGGGCCATGTTGGAATTGGGTTGCGCCAAGATGAAAGCCATCATCCTGAATCTGACACCGTTGAGCCCCGTGGGTATTTAGGCCATGTCCCAAGCACGCCACCATTTTTGAAGGCTTTCCGCAAGGCCACAAGCAGCTCTTTTGAGCAAGAATCTCGAGATGCTGCGGATTCGACTCTTACGGATCCTGCGATAGTTCGCAGCCTTGGAAAAATAAATGATTTTGGTAAGAACCTCCCCGCTGCAGCACTGTTTTATCTTCTCCTTATCTGAGTACTCATGTTCTGAATAGACGATACATGTATCGATACTTCTACTGATTATGTAGCTTCTACGGTCTCTGAGCATGCATATGCTAGTGAGAATGCTAAGCAGATCCATGGAACAAGTGAGCGTGGTCCACCTGGCCCTGGGAATCAAGTTGACAACGAACATCAAACACACACTAGTGTATTCTCGGATCTCCGCCCAACTGCTACTGAGTTTGTACCAAAAATGACGCTTACATCTGGCTTGACCGACCCTGCAACCGACCCTGCAGCTCCAGCTTCGCTTCAAGATGTTGCTGGCCTACCAGACATGACTGTGCTCGATAGAAATGGTATACCATTCCTCTGGTACATGTACGGTATCCAATTCGCCTACGAACAGGGTTTTCGAAACGGCCGACCCAAGTCTCCCCGGAAGTTCAAACCTAAGAAAATACGCGGTCCAGCATTGTCATCTATTGATGCTCCGCATACTCGCCCTCATGACAGTCCTGCTATTACGATGCGAACACCGGATACAATTCCCACATCATCAAAGCAGGAAGTGCCCTCTACAGAGCTTGTGTCGCGTCCGACTGTACCTGCTCACGACTCCTGCCCTGTTTACAGTCAAGAGACTATTCGGCCAAACTCCCACAACGACGGGCCGATGCACGAATGTTGCAGTGCTGTGACGCACCAGCCTTTCGCGAGGCAATTCGATAAGATCGACGAGTACACCAGTACCAGGAGCAACAACACTCCCCGCCACTACAACATTGACTTCACCAAGATACAAAACACCAGTTTCCCAACGGGCCCACGCAGCATGCAGGGCCACGTGTACCACAAACCGTCTCGATACGACTATCGAAATCACCGTCGCCTCGGAAACGGTCTGTATGGCGGTCGAGGCAACGCCGCTGGCATTCCTATAGCAGCTACCGCGCCGTTTCCCAACCCTGTCCCTCCGCAAGGTCGTCCGGATCAGATCCACAATTACAATGGAGGCGCGAGTGACTACAGTGAGTACTCGATTGGAACGGAGGCGTGTGGCATGGTCGATATAGTATCTGCGACTGAATTGATTGGTGGTCGGCCATGCAATGCGTGTGATCCTGGTCACTAGCTTGTCCTACGATTCTTACGAATTTATTATCGTTGGAGGAATGCTGCACAGAATAGTAGCTGCGGAACGATTCACGAGGAGGGGGACTGAAGAGAAGGAGGCATGTATTTGGTATGACGCTGTATGTGAACTTTGATCGCTGTATGCATCATAGTCATGGTTGGACTTCAACATGGATTGGAGAAGGAAAGCGATGGAGTTGGGTTGTTTTTAGTTTAGAGCGATGCATGATAATGAAGTATGATTGATTCAGCATTTCACTCTTGTTGCAGCGTCCTCTCATCACAATGTGTATGTATTATTCAAAGGAATGATAAGGTCACGAGACCAATGGATATCACAGGCAGAGGAGACGAGTCGGCAAGTCGGCGAAAGGCAGGGATGTTCATGTGGGGCTGACTAATGAGCTAGTGGGGCCTCTGAACAAAACCCGCGGTATCGCCGCCGTCTTGTCTTCTTTTTCCATATAGAAAGTTGCACCCACGAAATTTGACCTCACTCTTTGCTCCTCCATAAGATTGAAGTTGACATAAGCTGGGGAGAACAAACTCTTTGCTCCCAAGAACTGCCTGCCCTTACCGCATGGGCTGACGGTCCCGTAGCTCCGAGACATCCTACGTACACTATAATAAAAATTTTGTCTTGAATCCCGAGCGAGCTCGCTCGCTTTGCCGAGGAACAATATCCCAACTCGTACAACCTCATACGGACGGCACGACGCGATGGATGCATAAACGCTCTCAAAGCGATAGCAAAGGTCGCTTTTGAGAGCGCGGCATAGCCACAATGGCTCGCAAGAAGAAGGCGATTGACCATATGGTCAATCGCATGAGCAAAGTGCGTCTCGTCGATGAGCAGGCCGCTTTAGCTGCGCCACCCAAACAGCCGGAGCGCCGTAAAGACTCGGGCAGTAAGGACGAGGAAGAGGTCGAGCGCCAGCCCTTCCGCTTCTTCGATCTCCCCTACGAGCTGCGATTGCGCGTGTACGAGGAACTCCTCATCTTCCCCAAGACCATCGACCTCGACCCGTCCAACTACTGCACCGTCGCCCCGGCCCTCCGCCTCTTCCTCGCAAGCCAGCGCATGCACGACGAAGCAGCCCGCGTCTTCTATGGCAGCAACACCTTCCGCGTCTTCCCCATCCACGGCCGCTACATCAACCGCAAGCACCCGCTCCTTGCATGGTTCCCCCGCAAATACCGTGTCCTCCTCACCCGCCTCGAACTGCGTCTAGGCCCCGGCTTCACGAAACCGCCGAAATGCTGGGTCGTAGATAGCCGCCTCGGCCTCGCAGTTGTGAAAAAGGTATACCTGCTCAAGATCTTTGTAGAAATCGATCCTGCATCTGATGCCGTATTCGAGGGCTTCCGTGTTGGCAATAATTTCTACACGGAATACTGTGTCGGCTTGCTGAGAGGCTTGCTCGCACAGGTCCCCTCGATCAATGATGTAGAGTTTGATGCGTATCCCAGTGTGTCCAAGTCGAGTCCGTTGTTGGCGGGCTTGATCGAGGAGACGAGGCTGAATCAGAAGCATATTGCTTGGGGCCCTGAGAGGGGTTGGGATAAGATTGTTGATGTTGATTTGGCGAATGTGATGCAGAAAATGGGGCTTTAGTTGTTGCCTCGATATTCTGTCTAGATTGTGTGTTCTTGCAAACACAGTGCTCATGATTTTTATGTATAGATATGTAGCTTACGAATTCTCCAATGAACCTTACATTCGCCCGTTCCTACGTATCTGCTGAACTGACTCGTCTTCTTTCCAACTAAAACATAACATCAACCCCTCTTACCGCGGACTCGCCTTGGCCAGCCACGCCTTCAACCCCTCCGCATGCCTCTTGGGTAACCCCTTCCACCTCCCCTCATCATACGTCGCCTCAATCCCCTTGACCAGATTCTGCGCCTTACGCAACACCACCCTCTTCGCCCCAGCCCACGGTGTCTTATCCAAAAACGCATCCGCCTCCCCCACCATCTCCATCCTCTTATCCCTAATCTCCTTGCCATCTTTTTCCTCCACCTCACACAACCGACAGCTACACCTAAACCCCCACGTCTTCTGCAGAAACGCCTGGCGGGCCTCGTAATCGAGGGCGTCGTGGTAGGGGAAAAAGATTTCCTCGCCTGCTTTTATGGGGGCCGTGGCGCGGATAACGAGGAGGTCGCCAATGAATTCCTTTTCGGTGTTGGCGAGACAGGAATGATTGATGTAGGCGGCGTGTTTCCACAGGCCGGTACTCGCGCTGCGGGCGGATTCCTCGCCGAATTGCGCGCCGGGACTGAAGGCGTTGCGGGACATGATGTCGTGGACGCGGAAGACGTCTACAACGGGCCCGTCGGTGGTTTCGAAGATGTTCGTGGTGGAGGCTTCGCCTTGGTAGTCGCCGTAGAGCTGCATCAAGTGTGCTGTTTGAGAAGGCTGGTTCAGGCATTTTTGTACGAGCGACTTGGAGAGGCCGACGGGGGAGACGCGGATTTGGTCGTCGCGGATGTCGTAGGTCATTGCGACTAGGGCGTCGGGTTCGTGGGCCCAGACGACGCTGAAGGCTTTTTCGCAGAGGACGAGTGAGCCGGGGGCGAGGTCGTGGGCGGCGTAGAGGCCACGGCCTTTGCCTGGGCTGTCTTTCACGACAGTGTTTTTGATAAAGTTTCCGACGTCGACGCGGGATCGTGTTTTGGAGATGGTGGTTCGTAGCTTCATCAGGTCGTAGGATCCTGTTTCTTCTTCGCGGAGACGGGCTTCGATCTTCTTTAGTTGGAGCTTTGCGTCTCTGTCGTCGGGTGTGAGCTTTTGTTGCTCTTGGAAGAATTCCTTTGCTTCTTGCCATCGACTTTGGCTGTATGCGGCTGATCCGGCGCGGAAGTAGGCTTTGCTGTCGAGCTCTTTGGACTTTTGGTCGTCTTTGCCGGTCAGTGAGGCGCGCGCATCCGTCTTGACTTCGTCCAATTGACCTAGAAGTAAGTTCACATAGGCGCGGTTGCGATAGATATCTCGTGCTAGATCTGGGTTGGATTTGGACACGATTTCTTGGTTCGCGATTGCTAGGCCAGCCGAATACTTCTCATAGGCTAGGGGAAGGTCCTGTTCCTTAAGTGCAGTGTTGCCCTGGGTCTTGAATCTAGTAGCTGCCTTTTCGGCCTTTTCAGCATCCTCAAACTTCTTCGGATTTACAACATCTTCGTGGCAAACGACTAGATCAGAGGGGTGGTCAATCCGAAGCGTCGGTTCGCCCTGATCCGTAAGAGTAAAATATGGCTCCTTGATAATGAACTGTTTGGTCGACTCCAGAATATCTTCTCCATATCTTGATTTGTGGAGTAAAATCTCTAACCGCTCCGCGTCAGTGCCTGCTTCATTCTGCACCATAGTCCACGATCTGGCTACTAGCGTGACGACTGGACTGTGTCGCTTGACGACAAGCTTGCGGTCTCGGTGGTGTGTTTCCATCTTCAGATCAGCCATCTCCATCGGCTCCAGTTCTGATAATGGCTTTGTGCATGGAGGATAGGGTTGTCCTACACCAATGGCTGGTATGGTATTTGCTGTTTTCCCTTGAGTTTCCATCATATCCGGATCCGGTGCGCCGCCCATATCTGCCATGAGAGCAGCACCAGTGGCTGCTTGGTGTGCAGTGGTTTTATCTCTCGGTTCCTTTGCGTTGCCATGTTGCTCAGTGCACTTCTTTAGTCGATCCTTCACAGTGCTCTTGATGCGCTCCGCCTCTTTTTCTGTGAGGTAAATGGTGTTGTCATCCTGGGTATTGCTTGCCATTTTGGAAGTAGTTGATTGAGCGCTATGCTATTCGATCTGTCGCTAATGCGCGGTTGTTGTAGTCTGCTTTATCTTCAAAATGCAAATAGACGTCCTATGACGTTGCTTGAGATGAAAGAAGGAAAACAAGCGAATGTTTCCGAAATGCAATGTCGCACTTGAGCTGACAGAAAAGACGGTGCACAATTCACGTTCGGCAGTCGTGCTAGTAGTACCAGAAAAATAAATCTCTGACGCAATCAAATTTTGCTATTACTTGCAACTCAAGATGGAGTAAATTTGGAGGGGCTGAGGCTAGACGAATTTTGTTATCGATAGGTAAATGTGGGGTCAGAGAGCGACACCCTGCAGAAGGGGAAATAGGAGGGTTTAATTATCCATCAACAGAACGTACTCTCGACATGGTAGACTATTTGTATCATAACACCGATTGTCTATTTACTTCCAAACACTCGAGCTTTCCGCCCCTGCCTTCTTTCCTTCTTGATAAGTCTCACTCAAACTGTTATACAGACCTTTGACCCTAGTAATCTCATTGAGTAATCTCTCCCTCTCGCTTTCATCACCAATCTCACCCACCACATCCGCAAAGCTCTTCGCAGTAAAGAACTTGTTTTTCCGATTGTAGAGCTGCCTCTGCTGGACCTGCTCTTCACGCTCCCCTTCCCCCTTGACCCTAAACACCTCCTGTAGAATGTCGATGTCGTACGGAATCCCAAATAGATCTCGACTATCTTCATACGTGAAAAGATAGTAGAACTCGTTGAAGCCAGCCCAAGTAATACCGCTCAAGCATAAGGAGCAGGGTTCGTGTGTGGCGAGGAAGATGCAGTCCTTTGCTGGATGGGGGCGCGTTGCTGGGTCTGGAAAGTCGACCATGCAGAATTGTTGAATGCAGTTGATCTCACCATGAAGTAGTGGGGAGACGCGCTCATTGTTTGTGGCAAGGGTGTAGGGTGTGAGATCCTTGCGAGATAAGATAGCTGCACCAAAGAGCTTGGAACCGCTCGAGACGCCTTGTTGTGTGAGGGGGATAATGCTCTCTTCGATTGTGGATAGGAGTTTAGAGACTAGCTTCTCTGGTGCTGGGCTTGTTGTCTCGATTTTGGCTGACATGGCGACTGAAGTATGAGGCGACGTTGGCTGATTTTCAAATTGGAAGATTGATGACGATCAATCTCCGTTTCGATACAATCACTTGCTTTTATCGATCGAGAACATAT